GTACTTTTGTATCTTCCATCACTTGTCGTCTACGTTCCAATTCCATTTCAAGCTTTTCTACCTGACTTTGCGCTTCCTCTCTCTAAAAACTCAATTCTAAATTAAAATTTACATTCAGGCTTCATTCTACTTTTCATATTTTTGATAAGGAAATTTGCAAACTTTATTCAAAGCTTCTTCTTCATTTCTTCGCCGTTTTTCAAGCTCTTTACGACGTCGAATAAGTTCTGAACCAACTGCAGGACCAGTCGATTCTGCTCGATTAGAAATCTCTTGTGCTTTTCGATATCCGTCATCTCGTGACCCAAGAAGTGTCCGAGCACGTTGTAACTCTTGCTGTGTATCCTTCTGTAACCACACAATTTACTTGTTATTGGATCCATATTTTCGATTTCTTATGTTTCATTTTTCATAAAAAATGGTGTTTTTTTCCTGCATTTTCATTTAATAAATTACTATTGTTTGTAATAACCACAGTTAAAACAATATGTAGCACTCCTTACCGCTTGTTTAGTTACCCTTAACCACTCATTTTTCAAAGATCTTCGCAGTCGCTCATGTTCATCACGTCTTAATTCCAATGACTGTTGAAATTGAAGTTTAAATTAAAATTAATATCAGAATTTATTTGCTTGATGATGGAAAATGAAACTAAATTTAGTAGCAAAAAGCAACTCATAATGGATAAACTGCCATTAGCGTGCAGCGTATTGTTTGTGATTAACTCAGTTGATTCTTTGCTAATAGTAAATGATCATCTACGAAGATTTCAAAAAGAGATATATTGTAAATTTATTCTAAAATTTGCTTGAAGTTAAAAAGCAAAATATTACGCATTAAGATTCACTTTGATAAACCTGTCTTGAATGTACTTCACGGCTTCTTGCGTTTGCTCACAAAACGTGATATCATTTTCAAAACTTGTCTCGAATACATCTTTTAGTGGCAAATAATGCTGTGAAAAAGATTTTAATTCAAATTTTTTTCAACATCCAAGTATTCAAAATTGATTCTCAGAATATTTTTTCTGCGTCGCTGTATGAGCTTTTGTTTTTGCATCCTTCAATCTTTGTTCACAGATATAAAAATTGAAGCTATTTTTTGAAGCTTCATCACATATTTCGGAATTAAAACCAGAATGCACAATTCAAAAGTTGACTTGCTTAAATTTGAAGCAATTATGCATGCTTCTTTGAAATTTGATGAATAGTACTGAAACAGACCTCGCTGATAGTAACTTTTGATTGGTTTGCAAGATTTTGCACCCGTTTAGCATGTTCTAAATCAAGTTGAACCCGACGTGAAACGTGATTCAGCAAGTCTTTACAATATTTTGTCCATGCTAAAAAATACTTCTAATGTACAAGATTGTTGAAATTTGCGAAATTATTCATTTTTGCGAGTTAATTATATAGTTATTTTGATTAATGAGCATTTATTCTTGTCACTAAACCTACTAAAAAAAGTCATTTAAACTTGTAATCTGGCCGAAATCTTTTATTAAGCTCCACCGTATGCATTTTGCGAAAAGTGGAAATTGAAAGCATAGATTCAAAACATTTTTTAAATGAACTTCTATTATGTATATATAGGTTTCAACAATGAATTTTTCCATATTTTTGACCGAAGTAGTGACTATTTACTGGCATTCCAAAATGTTACTAGAAAAGAGTTTCAAATATTTTGTTTTCCGATTATACGTAATTTTTTTGAATATTGCTTGTTTATTATTTTCATGATGCATTTTATATTTGTCAATTCAAATTTTAAGTGACAAGTATAGAACAAAAGTTGGCCATATTTTATGACAGGTATTTTATGGAATTGCTTATGTGAGCATACCTTATAAACAAAATACATATTATACCTTTGGCTCGGTCAAAGGCTAAGTCAATTCCGTCACCTCGGTCAGCCACCATTCGGTCCATTTCCTCAAAATCAACAAAGCCTGAAACTTAAAATGCTCAATTTTTGAAGTTAGCTTCAATATTTTTATAACTTATAAAATAAATCCATGTCTTGCAACATTCCCACACTATGCTTAAAAAATTATTTACTTTCCTACGAATTTAAGCAGAGCTGCCGAATGGAAAAGAGAAAGAAACGAAAAAATTTGAAAAAGGCATATTTAAAGCTTTTAATCATAAGCTTAAAAGTTTGAGATTTTCAAGAAAAAACTTGGTTTAAATGATTGCAATTGTCTTAATTGTTACATTGTATAAATAACAGTGCTAAAAAACTGGCTACTGTTAATTCAATTTTAAGAATTTACTTTGTAACAAATCTGTTTATCTTATTTTCAGTTTCACAAATTAATCAGAGAGATATTTATTTATTTTAATCAGTATGTTAGAATTGTTTGAATTTATCAAACAATTTTTAGGATCAGAAAAAAAAGTTAAGATAAAATAAACAAAATTGCAGGCAATGACAATATTAAACTTCAGGAATATAATATACATCATTTCTGATTCTCATGTATTATAGAATGCAAATAATTCTGATAAGCCTAATACGATGGTATGAGTCTTCTCCCTTCTTGTTACATTACAGTTCTAATGCAACCATAATCCCAGTTTTAATCCTTTGCCGATTTTTCCGAATAGCACATTAATTTTTCATAAATTTTGTAATAAATTATTATAGTATAGCATAAGCAAAAAAGAACATCACTAAAATCATACAAGACTCTATTTTCAAACTGTACAGTCATCACACATTTCTGCAAACTTTCTAATGATAAATGTTTGATACAAAATTGCCCAAATATCTGACTGATATAGATTATTAGCAATTATATTTTTGTACTCTGCGCAATATTTTGCTCATTTCTATAACCCCTAAAATTAATTTTTGAGCTTTACTGATTCAGTTTTGTATAACAAAGAAAATTAATTATTATAGTTGTTGAATTTTTCTTTGTAATACTACAATTTTGAAAAAGTTAATTTAATTTTCAAGTTTAAAATTCAGTAATGCTATGATTGCTGTTTTTAAAAAAGGCACAGCAAAATGTATTAGCATTAATTAGAATAAAATGAAGATAATTAGATGTACTAAAAGTTCACAAATTTTAAAAGTAATTAATTATAAGGCAAAATGCTTAAAAGAGTAAAACAAAAACAATAATGTCTCGAATTGGCTTTTGCGTATTGCAAGCAAATAAAATATCAACTTTAAACTGATATGATTTGACGTTGTTTAATCAAAAATTTTATGATGCTCAATTCAAATTTATACTATTACAATGCAAATAAATAAACAGAAATTAAGAGGAAAATCTTGTGAATACCGAATATGCATCTTCATATGATACATGGCATAAAATTTTCAAAAAAAAGTAAAAGGTCGCTAACATTTGAATAACCGACTTTTCCATTCAACCATCCTCAAGGAAATTATTCAAACGCAATGTCCGAAGAAAACTTTTTGTTATGACATAACTAACATATTAACAACATGGGAAAAGAAAATTTGTTAATAACTTTGCAATTATTTTTTCTTTTGTACCATTAAACTGTGAATATTAGTATATTGACAAATGCTCAATACACTCGTCATTTCACAAACTTAAAATATGCTAATTTCCTTTTGTTATTTACTTAACTACTTTTTTTAAAATCATTTATGATTATTCCTCTGTTATCCTAAAGCAATTATTATCATGTATCAACACGTTTTAGTTTATTTTTCACTTTTTATATATACCAGACATATTTATTGTGATATACAACAATTACTTTAATATTAAAAAAAAAGAACTACTGAACAAATATTTAGTGCGGCATTTTATGCATAATTTCACTAATTATAGAATACAAGAAATCTTCCTAAAGGTTACTACTATTCGTTTTTAAAAGTTAACTTCATATTTTTGATCAAGTAACGCTACTAGGTTAAAATAATTAAAAGAAATAATGAATTGGAATAATGCACTCACTTTAAATAGATATTCTTTACTGCTGACAAGTTTCAAACTCTTAGGTTTTGTCATGGTGGTTGACTAAGACTACTGCAAAATTGATTACCACTCAGAATTTTTAAGAGAAGCTGAAAAAAGAAAACAATTTGTGAAGTAATTTGCAGCTGCTATTTTGACTGCCTAGAAAGCATATTACTTGCCTTTAAAATGTCAATCGAACTGATATTCAGTATTAACTTGATAATTTCAATTATTCAATAACTGAAACATGAAAAGATTTTAAGTTTTATGGTAAGGAAAGCAGATGTTCACCACGAAAACAAAATTATTATTGAGGTGATCGTTTTAGATTTTGGTCACCACGAAAGGTCAAAAGTTCAGAACATTATTTTCAGTGTTCACTAATAGCTTTATTCATAAATAGCAAGCAAATAATGACTTAATATTGAAACTGAATGTTCAAAACAAAAAACGAAGAAAAAGTACTTAAAAAAATAGACTAACATGCTTGGATGAAGTGAAAGTTTTACATTACAATGAATAGATATTTTATTAAAAAGTTAATGAGAAAAGATTTTATAGGTATAAGAAAAGGTGAGATTGAATGTCATCACGAAGGAAAACAACCTTTCCTTCTGTCTCATTCAATCTTTGCTACTGATTTGATTAGAGATAAGAAATCTCCGTCAAAATTATACTTTGCAAACAATTTACGATTTAAAACGATTCACTCCTTTCAGTAACAACTCATAGCTATATTATGTGTTAACAAGAAACGCTGTTTATGATAAAAACAGTACTATGTAAAGTTTGGCTCCTGTTAATGCGTATAATTTGCATGTAGTCTATAAAAAGCTGCACATAATTTGCATTTTGAAACAATTAAATGCTTAACTTGTGCTAAATACAATGGCAACGTGATATGATACTTAACAGTGTATGAAGTTTGCATATATTATTGAACATTCTTTTATGTAAATAATTTAAAATGCTATTTCGTTTGCAATATATGATATTCATTAAATGGAAAAATTTAAATATAGTAACAAGTTTGCACAATAATACTGAATTTAGTAAATAACAGAGCATTTTAAACTTGGAGGAAGAGTAAAAGTAAATGTCATATGTGACATTCGATGAAAATTTCCAGCATTTAATAT